GACTACTATGTGCCAGGCCCTGGGGATTCAGAACTAAGAACTGATCAAACACAGTTTGTAAGGAGCTAATCTTCCTAAGGGGAAGACCTTAAATATTAGTACACACAGACTAAATATAAAGATAACATAGAAATACTTACAAGGTAGTTAGGGAAGGAGGGCAGATCACAAAGGCTGGTGAAGGGGGGGGGGGTTAATCTGCATATTGGAGGAAGGCATTCCAGGCATAGGAGATGGCCAATGCAAAAGCGTGGAGTTGGGAAATGGAGTGTCATGTGTGAAGGACAGGAAGATGCTAGTTCAGCTGAATCATAGTGTGGAAGAGAGAGAGTAATGTTCCAGGGGCTGATGTTGGAAACGGGTTGAGAGGGCCTTTCAGAAGTCCAATGGGAGTTTATGTTTGATCTGAGGCTATAGGAAGCCACCAGAGTTGAGATGGAGTAAGGGCTCGACATGGTCAGATCTGTATTTAAGGAAAATCACACTTGCAGCTGTTGAAGTTGGGAGAGTGGTTAGGAGGCAACAATCCAGGCAACAGGCAAGGAGGGCCTGGACTAAAGTGACAGCTGGTTGATGACAGAAAAGGGGTCAAGTGTGGGAGATAGGGTTGGGTGGGAATGGTGAGATCTGCCAATGGATTAGATACGTGGGAGAAGAGAGAGCAAAGAGTCCAAGATAACGCTGAGATCAGAAGCCAGGAGACTAAGGATAATAGAAATAGTGAACTTTGGAAGAGAAGAGGAGTTGGGGGCAAAGATAATGCAGTCACTTCTGGCCACATGTGGTTTCTCAGCTCCTGAAGTAAGCCCCCACTGGGGTTTTATTATAGATAACCTGAGTCAACAAGCGTTTATGAAGGGCCCGTTGCCAGGCAGTGGGCATACAAAGATGAAAAAAAAAATGACTGTCTCTACTCCCAGGCATCATAGATTTAAAGCTGAAAGGGAAGAAGTGAACTACTAACTTCTACATCTTACACCTAAAACAGGGTTTCTTAAACTTTTTCCACTGGTGATCCCTCCAGTACTTCTTAAACAGGGAGGGGGTCATGAACCCCCCCTCCCTCCCATTTAAGAACCGATGAAAAGAAACTGAGAAAAAGAGAGATGAGGGAACTTACCCATAATACCACAGGCCATAAGTAGCCCAGCTGCAATTTGAAGCTTGGCTCCTCTGGCTGTATGGAAAAAGTTACCTGGAGGCACTGAGGTGATAAGTGACTTGCCTAGGGTCATACAGTCAGTTTAACCTCCAATGCTGTGATTCTGTAAACTCAGCCATTAGAGTCCTTAGGTCAAAGCAGGGAGAGCTACTAGACTTAGACAAGAATTTCCTTGTTGCAAGTCTGGCCTCTATCCGTTCTATTGCACCTCCTCTCAAGTAGTATACAGTCTACTGGGGCCATGTAGACAGATGAATATAATATCCAGTAGGGAGTAACAAGGGGAGAGATCCCAGTGGGTTAGGCCAGGATGATTTGGGGAGCTGGAGAACACTTGCAGAGGAGGTTCCATTGAGGAAGAGGCCCTGACTGGATTCCCAAAATGAGCTCTTGGCCACTTCCTCCAGGTATATGGGGAAGAGTACAAGACACCAGGACCGCATAGCTAAGGGGTGTGCGCCTCCTCCTTTGAAGTATCTAGCCCATAAACACTCATTCTTTAGCCTGCCTGTGCCAATAGTCTTGTAGTCTGAAGAGAAGTGTTGGCCATCCACAGTTTGGCCATGGGCAGTTGTTCTAGGCCGATGCCTCAGATCCCTGTCCCACCTCTTGACCCTGCCCCTTATATGTACCCTGGTTCTTCACTATCCTCCTGACTCTTTTTTTTTTCTTTTTTCTTTTGGCTAGGCAATGGGGTTAAGTGACTTGCCCAGGGTCACACAGCTAGTATGTGTTATGTGTCTGAGGCTGGATTTGAACTCAGGTCCTCCTGAATCCAGGGCCGGTGCTCTATCCACTGCGCCATGTAGCTGCCCCCTATCCTCCTGACTCTTGAGAATAAGGCACTCAATTAAAAATTATACTTCAGGGGACAGAGATAGCCAGTATGGAGGCACTATACCACCTCTGCCCTAACATGAATGAATGAATTAGTAAAGTATTTATTAAGTGCTTACTTTGTACCAAACACTCTTCTAAGCTCTGGGGATACAAGCAGAAAAGCAAGGCAGTTTCTGCTCTCAAGGAACTTACATTCTGGTAGGGGAGACAACACAAATAGAAATTTTCAGTGCCAAGGCAGATGTTAATGCCTCTTCTTTAATATCAGTTCAACTGATAAAATGATGTGTTTCTGATGTTTAACCACTTGAAAGTGCCATAAACATGAACACCCATGGTTGAATTTTGTCTGTGCTTTCAACACCTAGCCAGGTTGTTCCATGGAATGGTTTCTAGGGAGGCAGCCTGTTGTACAAAAAATTGTGTTGGACTTGAAAGCAGGAAATGTGGGTTCAAATCCTACTTCACAAATTAAATAACCAAGGGCAAGGCTCCTAATTTCTTTGAGTTTATTTTCTGCTATGTGAAATGGAAGGTCATGATTGCACTGTCTCCCTCACAAGTTAACTGTGGAAGAGAGTGTATTGCAAATATTAATGGGCCAAGAAGACTGGGAGTAATTCTTCTTCTAAGCTCCCATCAGGCAGCTACAAGGCTTTGGGCAATAAAGGGGCAAACAAAATCTCAGAGACCTCATTTCTAGGCCTACATCTTCCATTAACTCGCTGGGTGACTTTGGAAAAGTCACTTAACCTCTCTTGCCCCTCCATCTGTAAAATAAGGGATTGCACTAGATGAGCTCTGAAGTCTTTTCCAGCTTTGACATTCTCAGATTTCTATGATGCCAGCACCTGAGGATGGTGGAGAAGATCAAGAAAGCAACTGATGGTGGCTTCTAGGTGGAAAACTTTGCTCTTCCTAATGGACCATTCCCTATCCACAGGAAGGGATCAGGAGGGTCCATTTTCCTTAGCCAGGAGTGTAGATTCCTGTAGAATATCAGCTCCTTGAGGTCAGGGACTACTTCTCCTTCATGCCCTTATTTCTCCAGAACCCAAGACAGTGCCTGGCACATAGTAGGCACTTACTGATGCTTGTTGAAGGCAATGGACTAGAACTGAGTGACAGGTAAGCTAAGGGACTGCTCACTGTTTGCTCACCCCCAATATACCTGGTGAGCAAATGGCTGACTAGGGGCTGGCTGGCTGGCTCCTGTGAAGAGCTGTATCCACTCCAGGAAGGACTCCTTCCAAAACAGTCCTAAAGAGAGACAGCAGGCAGGCAATCAGCCAGCAAGCCGCTCCTAGCACCTTTGGTCCTGGCCTCAACCAACACTGAGGCTGATGTAGGCCATAGGACCCTCTGGGACTGCCCGAAAGTACAGGAGGAAGTAGTGACTCAAGCAGTTTGCCATAAACAAAACTGACGGTCAAGCATGGCTGGCGGGGGAAGACACTAAATAAATGCTTATTAATATCGTGTGAGATGATATATTTTGCACAGCTATATATCTGCAAGGAGAAATGCCATGAATAATAGATCTGATGGGATCTCAAGAGATCATCTAGCCTAGACAGATGGTGATCTATTTCATTTTTAAACATTGCTCAGTCTCCTTTGGTTGGGGCCCAGCATTTCATCATCCGAAGAGTCAAAAAGTTCAACTGTATGCCTTGCCAGGGCCCTTAGGTGCAACTTACATCATCGTAGGATGTCCAAGTTGGAAGGGACCACAGAAGCCATGTCCAGGCTCTACCTGAGCAAGGTTCCCTTCCACAGCATTCTTGGTCATCCAGGGTTCACCTACAGTGATGGGGAGCTCACTACCAGGCAAGGCAGTCTATTCCATGTTGGGACAGCCCTAGATGATAGAAATCCCATTGTTTGCTCATCCCTCAAAACTATGTCTATTCATTTTTGTCTTCTTTAGATTTCAAGGGGATTTGGGAGATCCTTTTCAGGATGACAGTGTAGACTTCAAGATCATAATTATTCAAGATTATTATTCTTTTCCCTTCTCTCCCAAACCTTATCTTCCCCAGGCTAAATGCCCTAGTTTCACTAATCTTTCCTCCTTGAAACTTATGTGATTGTAACTCATTTGCATTATACCTCTCTAGGTTCCCCTTCTTCTTAAAAAAACAAAGTAAAATAAGCAATATACATGAATTCTGTCTCCATTACTGACTCCCTGTGTGTATGTGTGTGTGTTTCTCCTCTCCCTTGGGCTACACATATCTGTTGGCTCAGGTAGTGCTAGGAGACTAGATAGCACATAGCCATGCTTTTCTACTTCCTGCTGCATGGCCGTAGGTGGGATGGGCAGGGTTGGCAAATAGCTCGGGAATCATATTGCCTTTCAGGGAAGAGGTTTTGTCTTCCTATACGTTCACCCCCACCGCTCCAAGATTTCCTCAAACCAGCTGGAATCCTAGATGTTCTTCTGGCATACCTGGCCTACTGGGAACCTCCTAAATTACTAGGGAATGTCTGGGCCCAGAGCAGTACCTCCTGGGGATGACTGTGGCAAGAGAATGCTCTCTCATTCCCTCAAAGGTTCATCTTATGGCTCTGGGCTAGGCCTAGTATCACACTGAATGGGGTTTGGAATCCTCTTTCTTTTGATGCAGATTTTCAAAACTTCCCAAGTTTTCTAGCAAATATGGCCATTCTCCATCTTCTTGGATTTTCCCAGAATCACTCTCTAGAGGGATGGATCTGGTTGTACAGTAGGCACACTGTCCTTTGAGAGACAAGGCTTGGCAAGAGAGGGATTTCTTTGGGTTGGCTCACGTGGCTGGTGTCCCTTCCCAAAGACAGGCTGTGACTGCTGGCCAGCATTCAGGATGTAGTCGTGAGAATCAGATTGGCTTGCTCAGCAGTCTGGTGGCCTGCTAAGAAAGAACACAACTAGCAATAAACACTAAAAGCTTCTCTAGGGCAAGGCAAACAGCTCTTAAATCATGGTGCCATGCTTTTTCTCTCCTCTCTGCCCCAGACACTGTCACTGAAGTCAAGACGGACATCTATGTGACCAGTTTTGGCCCTGTCTCTGACACAGACATGGTGAGTACTGTTTCCTGTCCAGGGAAGGTCTAGAAGGGAAGTAAAAGTAGCAACTTGGGACAGAGGTTGTGCTGTAAGAGATCTTATCTCTCGGGCAACATACTTGGCTCTTTGCTGGTGCCGTCCTACCTTTCCTTAGCTCTTTGGACATGCCATGCTCCTCACCACCTCCTTGAAATTGCCGGTGTAGTGGAAAGGACATTAGATTTTAGACTGTAGGGGCAGCTAGGTGGCGCAGTGGATAGAGCATCGGCTCTGAAGTCAGGAGGACCTGAGTTCAAATCCGGTCTCAGACGAAAGACTTGACACTTACTAGCTGTGTGACCATGGGCAAGTCACTTAACCCCAATTGCCTAAAATAAATTAATAAATAAATAAAAATTTAGACTGTGGGACCTGACTGCTACTTACTGGCTACGTCACTAGGGGCAAGTTACTTCCTCACTCTGAGCCTCAGGTGGTTTTTATTTCTTTTATTTCTATAAAATGAAGGGGTCAGACCAACTGATTTCTGAATACCATTCTGAATCTAATTCCTATGATCTTACCTGGATGAAGATTAATAATACACTGTAGGATATTGGTGAACCTATGGTCATACTCAATACTCAAGCTTTCATTTAAATATGTATGCATGGATTTATGTCAAATAGCATTTACTCCAAGTTTACAGAAATCCTAATATTTGGTAAAAAAAAAACCCAACAACAACAAAAATATTAAGCCATTTTTTCCCATGCCTATTCTCATAGAAAACTGGCCTTTGCTCATTTTAAAATGGTCAGCATTAATTGGTCATAGATAGAGAGCTTGAAACTACTCTAGTCTAACTCTCACTTCACAGATGAGAAACTGAGGCCTAGAGGAGAGAGTTGAGATTTCAGCTCAATCCAGCAATCTTTCCACTGTACCACATGTGTAGGTGTGGGATGAGAACAGACTTGCTTGTATTACAATCTGATGTATTCAAGGAAAATATCCTTCAAACTTTAATTTTGAAGATAATATGTAAACAAAATCATTGTTTGTTGAAACCCAATTGGAAAAGCTGCCTTAAAAATGTCAGTTTGTTTTTTTCAAAATAATCGTTGATTTTGTTTCACATTTGCTCATGCCCCACCCCATCCCTCCACTTTCTCAGGTCTTAGCTATCCTTTAATGTCCGGCCCAGGTACCAAGGCTCCCCTGACTATTCTAGTCCCTTAGTGATTTCTTCTATCTCCAAAGACTTCTGTAACCTGGCAGTCCCACCACTTTGTGGGACCACTTTATTACCCACTGCTTTGGATTACTCTCCAATCATCTGTGTTGTAATTGTGCATCTTCTCTTCCAAACTAGATTGCAAGCTCTTTGAGTACAGGACCAATGTCCTAAGCTTCTCTGTAGTCTATAATCCTCCATAACGGTCATATCAGAGAAACTCATTCAATACATGCGTTTGAACACTTTCCCTTTCAATGCCCAGAGACTCTTGATCTATGAATGGCTAAGGGAAGAACAGTAGTCACTTGACTTGCCTCTTCTTCTTAACTCTCCTGTTTCTGGGGGGGCACCCCCATTGTCCCAGGCTCCCCAGCTCATAACCTTGGGATCTTCTTTGATCCTTCCCTCTCCTGCACTCCCTACATGTAATTAGTTGCCAAGATGTCAATTCTAACCCAGAGCATCTCTCCAAGCTATGCCCTCCCCACTCAGAGTTCCGGCCCTCATCAAGTCTCCAAACAATTATGACAGCCTCCTAATTGGCTTCCCTCTCTTCACCCCAGCTTCCTCAAGCTACCAAATTAATATTCCAAAGGCACCATATCAGTTCATTGTTCAGAAACCTTTGCCTGTTACTTAATCCCTCGGATGCCTGGTTCCAGCCTACCTTTCCAGATCTATTTTACTTTATTTTCCTCATTCCCCTCCACACCAGGCAAACCAGCTTACTAGCCATTTCTCAAACTCAACACACCTTCTCGTCTCCGAATCCCCTCTTCAGGCCTCAGTTCAGGTGCTGTCTCTGATGTCCCTAGCAGAAAGCGTTCTTCTCCTTGCCGTTCTTCCCTAGCACAGTTTGTCTGGCTCTCTCCTTTGCTCTCATCACACTGTACCTTGTCTCACTGTGTACATGACACTGATGCTTCCTCTCCCCGCCACCCCCGAATAAGGATAGGGGCTGTTTCATTTTGTGTCTTTGTGTTTCCAACACCTAAGCACAGTGCCTGTGATACAGTACGTGTTCATTAAGTATGGGATCATTGTGTGCTTCCTTGGGGCCTGGCACAGTGTGAGGTGTTTGGAAGATCTGGCCAGAGTACCAGACACTATCCTTCCCTTCAAAGAGGTAGTAACCTTGTTGGTGGGCAACCATATGCTTTCTAGAAGGAAGATTGCTTATTTCCTGCTGGCAGTCTGTTTAGCCATTTGTAGGGGCTTGAAGTTTTGCCAAGCATGCTGACCCTCACCAACCTGAAGGAGATCTCCCCATTTTCTGGGCTCCAAGCTGGGAGTGACTTCCTTGGGCCACATAGCTCAGAAAAGGCTAAGGGATTTCATTTGACTTCCAGACTAGTTGCTGTGAATTGGTGGCAGGGCTCATCACGAGGAAGAAACTAAAGCTACCCTTGGCGTGGCTTCCATGAACACCTCGGGGCCTCTAGACAGTTGGCTCTGATTGCCAGACGATTTTCCTGATGACAATTCAGCATTCCCGTTGTCTCTCTGTCTTTGCTACTCATGACTGAGTTGAGGCTACATGTTCACTCTTACAAATTGGAGGCTATACTCTGGACAAAGAACTCTCCAGAGTTATTTTTAGCTCCTCCGCAGTCTTACAATATGTCTGAGGAACTGGGGAAACTCTAGTTGGAGGGAAAGTAGAAAACACACTTGCTGTAGGCTTGGGTTGGGCTTTTTTTGCTTCCTTCCTAATTTGCTATTTGGTGGATGTATGGGGATACTCCAAGCTCATCGATGCCCTAGAGAGGAATGTTTCTTGAACCAAACTGCATTTCTCTGTCTGGGATACCTTGTTCTACATGGAGGAGAGCTCTTCTGGATCTCAGAGGGATGTTTGGCCCCCAAAGGCAGGAGGCCACCATCTTCCCTACCTCTCTGGAGAGAGCCCTGAGGTAAGTAGACTCAAGTGTTTGGCAATTAAGGAGGGGAGCTGGTGGGACCAGTTTGGACCTTAAGGCACACAACTGGCTGACCTAAAAGTTGTATAGACAGAGACAAAGAATCTGCCAGGAACCTGAGAGACGAACTAGTACAAGCCATACGTCAACAGGAATCTCTTCTACTGAATTCATGGTGAGTGGTCATCCAGCATGTGCTTGGTCAATGTCCAATGAGGAAGAGAGCTCACTACATCCATTCACAGAATCACCAACTCAAAAACATTTCCTCTTGTGTCATTCCCAACAACTAGCCATTCAGCTTCTACTTGAAGGCTGTCAGTGAGGGAACCGTTTCCACTTTGGGGTAGCTCTAAGTGTCAGGAAAATTTTCCTTTTACTCAAGCCCAAATCTACTTCTCTGCAGCCAAGCAGAACAAATTTATAATCTCTCTTCCATATGAATACTTGAACACAGACCTCGTATTACCTTCCATCTCTTCTTCTCCAATCTGGTAGTGGATCCTCACACAGTCAAAGGCCCTACACTGTCTTAGGAACTCTCTTCTTGATGCTCTTTGACCTATCAATATCCTGAGAGAAGGTAGAAAGGTGGTAGGTGAAATATCCCTTGCTTTGCTTCCCAGATAGGGAATGACTTCCCTCCTTGGGAATGACTTACCCGGAAGACCTAAGTGCCTGTTCCTCAATCCCAAGGATTTTCCTTCTCTATTTCACCCCAGTTCCCACTCCTATCAGGGGCTCAAATACTTGACTGAAATAAAAAAGAGCTAACACAGAAAATCCAGGAAAGACTGTCAGGCGAGTCAGGGGAAGAATAAGCAGGGAAAAGCTGTGAAACATTTCTCTAGGTATTGTAAACTTCAGGATCCTGTCCCGAGGGGACTTGTACTACTCAAACATCTGTTAGGTAGAAAACACCTCCTGACGGTGATCCACAGACAGCCTCCCAGGTTATATAGGACACCAAAGTGGTAGTGTAAGTCCACAATCCATCAGAAGCCTACCCATCTTATTTAACAAGGAAAATAAAATGGAGGCCTGGGAAATTAGGAGGTATTTGAAACATTACCAGAGTCATTCTAGAGAAGTCAGATGATATCCATTTTCATCTGACAACGGATTATAAAATGTTATGCAAAATACCTGAGGACTGGAAAGTGAAAAAAATAATGCTAATTAAAAACAAGTTAGCACCATGGCCAGGGGCTGTACCCGGTGCATTTCCTGGTGTCCCTGCGCTTGACACTGATGAGCTGGCTGCCTCATGACCATTGGAGGGAAGCTGGCTTGTCAATTTCAAGCCTTCCCCTGCTCTAGGGAGAAAAAAGAAAGGGGAGGGTTTGCTTCCCCGGGACCTGTTTGGTGTCACTTTTTCTTTTGCTCTAGTCTCTGGCACCCTTGATTTAGAAGGAGGCACATGTCTTCAGAACTGGGTTGACCATACCTCACGATATGGCAAGCCCTGCCAGTGGGGGTGCTCTAGGGGGCTATCTACCCTGATGCCCCAACCTATGTTTCCTGTTGGCAGCATGGCATCATAGATAGGGAATTGGCACTGAAGTGAGGAAGACTAGACATGGAATCCATATGGCCCTAGGCAAGCCATCTAACCTCTTAGACTGAGCCTCAGTTTCTCTGTACAGGACTAATAATCGAGGATCAAATGTATGTCAGTGTTTGGCAAACCTTAAATGATTACTGTCATTGGCATTATTATTTCCTCATCTTTCAAATGGAGGTAATATTCCCTGCCTTGCTGCCCTCCAAGAGCTGATTTTAGGAGCAAAGGAGGTGTGTGTGTGTGTGTGTGTGTGTGTGTGTGTGTGTGTGTGTGTGCTTTGAAATCCAGATGTATGTACCTAGAGATATTTGAATCATCAAGAAAAAAAGAAAAGAAATAAGGTTTCAAAATAAGGGAGCCAGGAATGCTGGGGTGGGGGGAGGCAGGGACAACAGCAGTACATAATAACCAGGCTTTCTGGGGCTGGGGCACCAGACGCTGTTTGAGCTGAAGCAGCACTAACTGTAATGAAGCTGGCATAGCAGAATGGCTGCAGTCCTTTTCCCCAGGAGGGAGGCTGCAGAGGTCTCTGTTATGCAGTACCATAGCTCAGAACACACTGAGAAGGTACCCGAGACACTGTACACTTGCTTTGCTGGGCCTGTTTTGGTTTCTAATGGTTCAGAAAGCATCCTGACCTCTCTGCTCACTCAGGGGAAGAGGGGCTGGTTTGCATAGCCAGCTTCCAGGGTTCGCGTCTGCCCAGTTCTCTGCCCCTCTGATCTTGAGATCAGGCTGCCGGTGTCACCCTGCAGAGTAAAGGAGGTGTCCTCAGGGTCCCAGGATAGCCCTATTTCTATCGATGTCATGCATAAATTGAATTTCCCTAAACCAAATCCAACAAAACTTTTTATATTCAGGTTTGTTTGTTCTGGACTTAGAAGACTCATCGCTTTGGGAAAATCCTTATTTTATCATAGTCCATTGTATGGACTAAGTCAAGTATCTATGAAGAGATTTTTCTGCTTTGCACATCACTGACCCCAATACTTAGGTAGTGCCTCCTCTGCTGTTTACTAGTTGTGTGACCTTGAGGGAGTCTCTTCCCCTTTTTGGTACTCCCTTTCTGCATCTGTAAGATGAGGAAGTAAGACTAGCTGCCTCATAAAGTCCACTCCCCCTCCCCACCCCAATCCTAGATGTGTGATTCCTCCTTCTGGACAATCAATATATGAAGGGCCTCTCTCATCTCTTGGTGAATCCCTTTTGGAATCTCCAGCTTCCTCCAAGGCATAGAGCTGTGCCATCTGCCCATGAGGCTTTCCTGATCACACCCAATCGTTAGTGCTCTCTTTCTTGTGAAGGAACTTTGCACTTGCTTACTTCTGTACCTTTTGTGCTTTCCAGTAGAAAGAAACCTTCCTGAGGGCAGGGACTGGTAAAAGCCATCTGGCACAGTGCCTTGTAGTAGAAGTGCCGTAGTAGATGCTTGTTGAATTGAATTTCATCTCTACACCTCCAACCGTTTCCTGAACCAAGTAGGCATTTGATCAATGTTTGTGGAATTGAATTTGTGAATTGTTTTCATTGTCCAAGCCCTCCAGCAAGAGGAGCCCTTATCTGTCACCAGCATAACAATGGGCCTTAATTTAGCACTTAATGCACTCAGGCACCAGGCTAGGGACCAGAAATACAGAGATAATAACCAAATAGTCCATTCCCTCTAGGAGCTTAAGATGGGGGGGGGGAGGAACAGAAGGGGAATGGATCTGACAGGTACACAGATGAGTGAATAGAAAATGTCTATAAGGTAATATGGGATATGGGAGGCACTAGCAACTGGGCAGATCAAGAGTGGGAGGTAGCAGCTGAGCTGAGCCCACAAGGGAGCAATTCCGGGCATTGGACCTAGTCTCCTCAAAGTCACCAAGCCAGGAGATGGGCGTACCATAATAAAAATCCCAATATAGGTAGTATTTATGCAGTGCATTTAGAGTTATCACACTTGATCCTCCCACTGATCCTGGGAGGTAGATACTATTATTAACCCCGTTTTACAGATGAAGAAACTGAGGCAAACAGAGGTTGTCACTTGCCCAGGGTCACACAGCTAACAAATTTCTGAGGCTGGATCTGAACACAGGTCTTCCTGACTTCAAGTCTAGTACTCTCTCCGCTGCACCACCTGGCTTCCAGAAAGGGTAAGGCTGAGTCAGAGTGTCTACAATTGCATCATCCAGGCCAAATCTGAGCTGTTGGCATTTGAAAAGCCATAAGGAACCCTTGAAACTGATCTGATAGATTAGTGCTGACCTAAGTTAAGCAAAAGGAACAAGAATCAGTTGGAATTTATGAATCAGAAATGACAAAGACTCGTGAGAATTCAGAGCCTGGTCTTTCTTTGCCTCTTTTTTTCTTTCCTAGGAGTATACCATCGATGTGTTCTTCCGGCAGACCTGGCATGATGAGCGTCTCAAATTTGATGGGCCCATGAAGATTCTCCCACTCAACAACCTCCTGGCTAGTAAGATATGGACCCCAGATACCTTCTTCCACAACGGCAAGAAATCTGTGGCCCATAACATGACCACACCCAATAAGCTGCTGAGGCTGGTGGATAACGGAACACTTCTCTACACAATGAGGTTAGTGGATGCTGTGCAGAGGGTGATGGAAAGCTCTTCTCCCTTCCCTGCCTCCCCCCACCCCAAGCCTTTAGAGACTGATGCATGGAGGGAGAGGAAACGTTGGGTATGGGATAAGTAGGAAGGCTTAAGGTTAGGCAAAGAACCATCCTGGAGAATCAGAACAGGAGCTGATACACATGAGGAATTCAACTCAAACATTTCTTCAGCACCTGATATGTGCCAAGTGATGAGAATACAAAGAAAACAATACAAATAGTCCTTACCCTCAAGAATCTTACATTCCCATGGAGGGAGATGATAGACACACAAAGAAGAAAATAGAAAGTATACAAAGTAATGTCAAGAGGAAGAGAATATGAACAAGTGGAGGAGGGGCAGAAATCACAGAGGAGCTGACTGCTATGGATCTTGAAGGGAAGGTTCAGTGAGGCCGAGGTGTGGAGGGAACACGGTCTATAAAGCAAGGAGGTTGGAGATGGGATTTTTTTATGAGGAACAGCTGTCAGGCCAGTTTGACTGGAAGAATGTGTGAACAGTTCATTTCTAGTTCTAGCTCCCATGATAGGTAGTAGAGGGGAAATGAGGCTGCTTTCCGTGGCTTTTTGTACCACTTCCAGTGATCCTGGGGAAGTATTTAACTTGCAGGAACCCCTAGCTTTCCTGAGCCCTTCAACTATGTCATCCTGGAAGAAACCTGGCTCCTCAGACAGCCCATACTTCATGGGGAAGGGGGAAAGGGAGAGAGAAAGAGAGCAAGAGCCTCATTCTATTTCTGTCCCTGCAACTGAGTCACTTTGTGACCTTCTGCAAGTCACTTAACCTGTCTATGCTTCCTCCTGGGCCTGATTCTGTGAAATGGGGATAACAATAATGCCTGCCACTGCTGCCTGCCTTTTAACATAGTTGGCAGAGGGCTTTGAACCCTTCCGGAACAGATACTCTGCAATATTGGAGACACCGTCACTGTCATTATTCTGCCCCTCGGTAGCCTGATCCAAGCTTCCTGCGAAGCTGGAGGGGTGGGGGTTGGCTCACACATTACTTCACCAGGGGAGCCACTGGAAAAGCCCAATTTAATCACTTCGAGCCTTAGGGTTTAGAGTGTTTGGGGAAAAGCCATTGCTGCCCTCGATGATGCCTCAAGAAAGGCTTCTTGTGTTGGGTCTCCATTGTTTTCTAGTACAGGGATTTTGTTGAAAGGAGCGAAGGACTAGGAAGCCCTTTTCCAGCACCAGCTCCATGGTAGGTACCTGGTAAGAGCTTGTTGAAAGACAAAAAACCCTCAGAATTGGAAACGAACACCAACATCTACTTAGCCTGTCGGAGAGCACATTAGCAAGAGGCGTAGACGTGTTTGGAATCTAGTAACCCCATCCCTGCCTCCTTTCCTAGAGGCTGGGTCTGTCTGGGTGGATGCTTTGAACATTTGTGTCCTATGAGGTGGAAAGAGTGAGCAAAGCTGAAGGGTCATCTTGACTTGGCCACAAGGCTACAGTCCTGGCAGGCACTGGGTTGCACTCCCCTCTCTGCTCCCCATGCAAACAGCATATAATCTAGCTCTTTCATTATAGAGAAGGACTATTAAATGGAGGGGGGGCCAGAGAAAGTACTTGGATGAGATGACTTGTAATCAGCTTAACAAAGCCCTGATGGCTTCCCTGTTATGGAAGTCTTCCTTGTAATAGTATTTGCTACAATGGGATTTTACCTGAGTTTCTTGTTCATTACCTTTAATGCCCCCCACAAATCCAAATCTAGCAGGCTTCATCTTTTCAGGCTGAGAGAAAGAGCAGGAGAAAGTGTGCTGCTGGCCACTCATTGTTTGGGGAGGGAGTGGTCCCTGGGATTTTCTTGTTTCTGCTGTTGTGATGGGGTGCTATAGAGTTCCCACTGGCTCCCCGGCAGCAGCCACGATCTTGACAGCTTTGCATACCAGGTGACTGGCTCCAGCTGCCCCTTTGAAGGAACACTCCCAGACCAGGTGACCACAGTCAGCAACGCTGGTGGCCAAGACAGGAAGCAGCTGGGCTGGCAGAGCAGAAGCCCCAGGGTGGGTGGGTGGGGGGGAGCACCAGGGTTTCTCCTGAGCCGGCTAAAATGGAGCTTTTCCAAGCTGGATGTTTCCCAGCACTACCCTCACTGTAAGCCCCAGACTGAACACCCGATGGATTCAGGGGCCTGTGCTAGGCACCAGGGAGGGAAGAAAAGGAAACAAGAACTTATTAAGTGCCTACTATGTGTCAGGCACTGTACTAAACACTTTACAAATTTATCTCATTTGATCCTCACAGCAACCCTGCAAGGTTGGTATTATTATCCCCATTTTACAGATGAAGAAATTGAGGTAGAGAGAGAAGTTAAGTGACTTGCCTAAGATCACACAGCTAGGAAGTGTCTGAGACTAGATTTGAACTAAGGTCTTCCCGACTCCAGCCCCGTGCTCTATGGTGCCACCAGCCTAGGGAGAGAGACATAAATAAGAGAAATTCTGTGGCCCTGAAAGCTGCCTAACAATCCCAGGCTGCACTGCTCAGCACCAGGCAAGTGGGACACTGAAAGTCAATATGATCTGGCGGAAAAGGGCACTCACTGGATCTTGAGTTGGGGGACCTGAGTTCAAGTCTGGCATTGCCACTCCCTGGTTGTGTGACCTTGGGCAAGTCACTTCACTTCTAGGTATCTCGATCCCCTTATACAGTAAATTAAGGGGCTAAGACTCTTCCCAGTCTTGTTCTGGTCCTAAGATACCAAGTAAGCGCAGTAGGAGGACAATCCAATAAACAAAAAAAATCAAACCAGCCCTGCCTGTAAGGAGCTTATATTCTGTGTGTGTGTTTGTGGGGGGGGGGGGGGTATGACATGCACACAGTAAATAGAGATTCTTTGAGGCAGAGGGGAGCAGACACTACCAGTGAAGACTGGGGCTGCCCTCGGGGCTTTAGGCCTTAGTGCTTCCTTCTGTGATTCTCTATTCCCCAACCAGCCAGGACAACTTCTTTTATGATGGAGCAGTGCTAAAGAGGCAGTTGAAAATAAGTCTGGATTTGGAGTCACAGGAACAGCTGCCTCCACTACTTTAAGACTGAATGACAAGGTTCAGCTAGCAGACTTCTATGGGCCCTTGCAGGCCACAAGTGAATGAGCCTCTCCTTGTAAGAGATCTTCATACAGGTGATCAGCAGACCACCAGGGGTACCTCCTCCTCCAGATCCCAGCTGCTCAGGCCAGCACTGGTTTGTCACAAACCCTCATCACTATCTGAGGCCAGGAAAGCAAGGGGTTTCTGTAGATGAATGCGTCACTTGCTTTGGCTCTTTGGGCTCATATTTCAAGTGACTCACCCTCTGCAGATAATAGCTGTTAGTGATTTACTGTTCTTTATTCCCAGTAAAGCACAAAGACAGCTAGTGCGACAAAGCGCCCTTCCCACGGCAACTACAGTGATTCTACAACCTGACACATCATTTACCAAAACTGCTTGGCTGGCCAGGGGAGAAGGGCTGGCTGTGGCCAGGGAGAGGCATGGCCCTTTTGGCCTGTGCCATTCAATCCACCTCAACCAATCATCATTGAGTATCTACCGTGTGCTCTGCCAGGCACTGAGAATGCCAAGACAAAAGGGAAGCAGTCCCCATCCTCAAGGACCTTACATTCTGTTGGCTTGGGAAGCGGGGACTGATTTGATTTGACATGAACACAAGTAACTAAACATGAATGTCAATTCAAGGAGAGAGCAGAGTGGAAATCAGGAAAGGTCTGATAGAACAGGTGGCTTTGGGGGCTATGCCTGGAGGGAAGCTTGGGATTTCACACCTGGGGCCAATAGCTCTCGACATTCCCAATTCTTAGCTGTTCCTTGACACCACACTAGCAGAAATGCCAACTGTCCTTCTCCCAAAGACAAGGCTCCCAGTTCTCAATCATCCAACCAGGAATGAATCTGTCCATCCAAGGCCTGGTGCTGTTAGACATACAAAGATGACCTAGTCATGGCTCCTGCCCTCTAGGAACTTTTAACCTAGCTGGGGAAACAATCCCAATCCACATGGAGCCACCGAAGAAAACCAGGAGTACTTTTGATCATGACCCTTTGTGGCAGAGATAGGACACTATAAGGAAGGGAGAGTTAATGTGCTTTGTTCCAGAAGCTTCAGTGGCTTCCTATTGCCCCTAGGACAAAGTGCAAAGCCTCAGTCTGATCTTTAAAGTCCTTCCCAGTCTGATTCCTAGTTACCTCTTCAGTCTTAAACTACTCCACTTCATGTACTTTGTATCCCCAGCACATTGGACTACTAGCTGTTGCCCATCCATGCCATTCTACCTTCCTCCTCTAGACATTTGCCCAAGCTCTTTCTCCTTGCGTAGAATGCACTGTCTTCTTCCCTTTGCCTCTTAGAATCTCTAGATGCCTTTAAAATACAGCTTAGATACCACTGTGTCTAAGCATACCATTGTATGTGCTTTGCATTTTCTTCTCTGCATACCTATTGTGTGTACCTGGTAGAATAAGAAGCTTCTTGAAGGCAGAGGTGGTTGTGCTTTTTGTCTTTCCCCAGGACCTAGCACAGGGCCTAGCATAAAGGAGACAATTGATGAATTGAATGGAATGGCTGCAGAAGACAGAGAGGGCTTTATAGAGGCAGTGGAACTTCAGCTAGGCCTCGAAGGATGGAGAGTTTATAGAGGAGATCACAAGGCATTCCAGAAGGGAGGAACAAAAGAAGTCAAAGGTGGCCCCATGCAGAGAACTCTCTCTAGAATGAGGCCTGGTCATTTGCCCCAGGCTAGGGGCAAGCAGAGTCTTTGACAGAGTATATCATCTGAGTGGGTTCTGACAATCTCTGGCTTCTCAGGTTTCTCAGGAAATCCAAGGAGCCTGCTCACTTGCCTTGCTCCTGCCAGCCAGGGCTTCTTGGGATTATTTATGTCGTGTACCCCCTTGGCAGTCTGGAGAAGCTGATATACATATGAAGGTACATATCCACACACCCCTTCCT